TGAACACAGTGGCCAGACATTTAAGGGGGGGGGCAGTCAGATCAGTGGGCGGGGTGGCATGTCACCATGGCAACCTGCCGCTGCCGCCAGAGTCCCTCTGGCCAGTCTTTAAGATTGCAATCGGTGACCTCCTATTTGAGGAACCAAGTCTGTCATCACTAGCTTGGTCTACTGTGGGGTTGCAGGGTTTTTTTTTTTTGGGGGGGGGGGGGTGGTGGTTAGATGGAAGCCTCAGTTTTGTTGGGTGACCTCCCGTGTATAAATAATAGAGTAGGACTTCCAGAGAGGGGGGAGCTCACCTGTGGTACAACCTTCTGGATCATTCTCTGCAGTGTGACGAATCCCTTATTGGAACTGTTAGGGCCGAGCTCCCATTTATAATTTGAAGCTTTCATTCTTCCTGGAGAGAAAGAGAGAGAGAGAGAGAGAGAGAGAGAGAGAGAGGAGGAGAGAGAGTGTGGTCGGTGCAAACACAAATTAAAAACAATGGCCTTTCTGCACCTTGTCATTATTTGTTATTCATTTGCATCCGGGGCCTAATGCAAAATGCATCATTTTGCAAAATGAGACGCGTGGAGTGTGCATTTTTCATTATCGTCTAGAATGAAAGAATGCAACACCCCCCTCAAGAAATTGATTACAAATTTATTAGGCAAGTTCATAACAAAGATTAGCATTTTTAAAATGCTTGCCGTCTGGTCCACACGTGCTCATGACTCTTAGATAGTACAGCAGCACAATGCCAGGGTATATACAGGGGTATATATCAGAGTTATGCAAATAATGAAACGTTTGCATTTCTTTAGTTAAGCGGTAATAAATCTGAAAACTTTTTGACTGGATGCAACCTGAAAAAACAGAGGAATAGTGCAAAGTTCAGTCCACCAAAGTGACCTTGTCGCTGCCGATTGCGTGCCGGTGCATACGGTTGTCAGGAGGCCGGCGTTTATTTATTTTTCATGATATGAGCGATGGTTCTTATATTCCTCCTTCCCGGGGGGGTGGGGTAGCCATGCGGTGTCAGTGGCGGAACGACGAGAACGGCATGACGGCTTGAGGAATGGGTGAAGCTTCCCGTGGATGACAAATGGAAAGCGGCAAGCCTCCAGTCCCCACAGAAACCGATTCCCAGGCTTCGGAAACCGTTTGGGAACTGGGAGCCCTTCGAAAAATCCTTGAATGGAAGCACCGGCATTTATCCATTACTCTCCCCTTCCATTTGAGTTACAAAGCTACAATTTTGTCTAGTGTACTAAGATCTGAGTGATGATCATTTTCAGACTCATTATTGACATTTAAGACTGAATGGCTGTCGTCCTGAATCTTACACCACGTTGTTCATTTGCGGCGTTGATGTCGTTGACCATTTGGAAATTTTCTTTCTGTTGTTAGAATCGCATCATACTTATTTTTGGAAACCTGAAGAAAATCTGTTGGTAGAATGGTGGATTGGAGCATTGCCTCTCAACTGGTGCGTCCATTTTCACTGGGCCGCAGAGTATGTAGGTAAAACTGCCCCCCCCCCAGCCTCTGGTTGGCAAATTTTATTGCAGGCACCCTGGGGGCAAGTTTTATGGATCATACATACTGTATATAGTATATAGTTCAAATTGATAAACTTGGGTCGTGACATAATGACCAAGTGGAAATGCAGGTTCTGAGCCTAAAGCAGTTAATTAGAGAGTAATACATCTTGAATTGCGGGTTTGGTTGCCCCTGGCTCTGCCAGTATGGATTCAGCTCCACGCCCTCACTCTCGTTTTCTCAGGGTATTTTCTGGCCTTCCCCCCCCCCCCATAGTCCGGACGGGCCGTCCATGTCAAACGACGGCCAGCGGTTTTCGGCGCTCTCCGACACGTAGCCGGGAAGCGGCAGCCGTCCAGCAGGTTACCATCTGTGCGGGTTGCCCGGGGATGGGAGGAATGACTAAGTAAGGATGGTGGCTCGCCGTGTTCCGCCACACGTGGCCGCTAATCGGATATCAAACTTCGGAGAGGTGGAGAGAAAACGCATTGACAATTCCCTCAGCCGCTGGACTAACATGCTCCTGTCGTCGGGACGGCAGTGTGGCGTGCTTTTCAATGAGAGCGCAGCAACAGCGTGCTTTTCAATGAGCATGCGGCTCTGCCAAAAGAGGGACATAAAGCATCCAGAAAACACTCCTCTAGTCTTTTTGGACATTTAAATTCCTGTAAAACCACTTTAAGTATTCATTGTGCATCTTTCTCTTTGGCATATGAGCCCCGTACACCGAAATGAAACAAGTGAAAATCCACCGCGATGGATTAATAAGTTAAGCCTCGTTGCGGAGGATGATTTTAAATGAGCTCTGCAACCGTGAAAAAAATCCCAGGAGAGCTTGTTTTGAAACTGGATGATACAAATTAGTTTGACGACTTTTTCTTAAGTGTCAAAGGCGAATGCGGGTTTTGTTTAGCAGCTAAACAATACTTGAAGTAACAACAAAAAGTAACAAACATTTCTTCAGTTCTTTTACTGATATATTGCTGGATGGTTAGAAGATCACAGCTTCAGTTCCCAAACCTCAGCCATTCCAGGTATTTGCTAAATGTACCACCAGCTCACTCAATTAATTAACTTAAACAATTAATAAAGATAATGAGGTACTGAATAGCCAAATGAGGGTAGTGGGTGAGTTATGTTTGGGTATATTACAGCCAATACTGGGGGAAGAGGTTTTGAAATGCCCAAGTTGACAAACTTTGTAAGACATAAATTCATAGTTTTACAAACGTAAACATATTTTTTGTGACAGCCTAAGACTTTTACACATTACATTCTATCACTGGCACTATCAGACTGATCAATGCAAGGATTCAATGATCAGTGTAAGCTTTGACCGGCTGACCCCTACAGCCAGTCAGCTGACCCCTACAGCCAGTCAGCTGACCCCTATAGCCAGTTCATAATAATTTATATCAGACCTTCGCAGTGGCTCAACAAACAGCTACGTCAGCGTGAGTGCAGGCGTCGTAAAGACAAGGTCACCGCTAAATGCAATATTTAAAGCAAGCAGGGAAATGGGCAAAAACGCAGCCTTTCCGAGCCATTAAACACGACATATTAGCGCATTTCCTGCCAGGTAAACGTCAAAGTGTCTTAAATTACTTATGGCTTTATACTTATGATGGCTGCTATCAAAACACATTCGAGGTAAACACGGTGAAACAATTTAAACTGTGATTTGTTCTAAACAATTCATAGTGTGTTACAGCTGGCATGTTTTGTTTAGATAACCTGAAATATTACATAATAAACTCATGATAGATTAATTGTTACATTATGTCTGTATTTTGGATGGCTGTTTAACACATGGTCCTGTGTGACCCTGTAATAAACACATTATGCTGGAGTTATAGGGACTGATCAGGGATTGGACCTGTCAGGGCACTGTGTCCCCAGCTGTCCCCAGATAAACCTGATTATGCTTGCAACCGACAGCCACTAGGGGGACATGAGCCAGGGTGGGGCGAAGTTAAAAGGTGGACACATGCAAGTGTGAAGCCAACTTTGGAAACAGCAAAACTAAAGAACATTGCAATATCTTCGTTTTCACAGATGCCATCGTGCTTTTCTTTAAGACACAGACGTCACAGGTGAGGACAAAGCTTGGGGTCTAAACACATTTATCAAAGGACCCTGGAGCATTTCTGGGAGCTAAGGGCCTTGCTCGAGGGCCCAAGAGTGGTGTGACTATTCTGCTGAGGATGGGATTCACACCTATGACCTTCTGATCACAGGCACAGAGGCCTAATCTCTGCCCAGTCGTGGTGGATGTGACCCATTGGGGTCTCCTTGGGCTGATTCCAAGAAGCCTCGGTGATCCACATCAGTGTAGCAGTAGGAAGGGTAGAATAATACAGTGTTTCCCAACCCAGTCCTTGGGGAACCCCGGAGTCCATGTTTTTCCTTCCTCGCAGCTCCCAGTGCACCTGTATCAGGTATTCGGTGTTCCTGATTGGCTGAGAGCTGGGAGGGAGCAGAAACGTGGACTGTCCAGGGTTCCCCGAGGACTGGGCTGGGAAACACTTAATTAACACATAATAGTAACATTATCTACAAGGATTTGTCTTCATAAATATGTGTGTATATATATATATATATATATGTGTGTGTGTGTGTGTGTGTTAGCAGATCTTTTATGTGTTAGTTTAATATAAATTTGTAGCTGGATATGCGTTTGCTGGTTAAATGTCTTTTGAGGCGATGGAGGAAGGTCCCTCTTGAAGCTGCTTTTATTGCAGCCTCTAGCATTGCTTCTTGTGTGGCCGCCGGCAGGCATTGCAGGGCACCTTCGTTTAGGCCGAGGCGATAAGCTGAAAGGCACCATAAAACTCCTGCAGGAGTTGGTGGCCTTGATGCCGCCGATAAAAGATATTCCGTCCTGCTCCGGAAAGTCATTTTAAGTCATAAAATACATGGCTGTGTAATTCTCCATTGTCACTGGTTATATATATATTTTTGCACTTTTTCTCACGGTTGTGTAATTTGTTGTGCTCTCTCAGTTTACAGCCGTACGCAAAGTGTTAAACCTTAAGAGCACAGTACGTGAACATAAGGGGCAGATGTCTGCTAATACAGAAACATGCGGAATATTTCCTGCCATTGAAATGCTTTTAAAATATAAAAACAAGGTTTTTGACAGTGTAAAAATGTGAATATGATTTAAATGTCATGTTTGTCATTGACTGAGGTGCATTTAATTGTAATAATATCAAGTTTAGATTAGTGTTTTTATTATGTTTGGATAAGTTTTTTTTGTTCCTGAATAATATTAAATCCAATATGAAATGCACACACTTTGTGAAGTATTACACAGAGTTAATTATTCACATAAAAACCACCATTGATATCCTAATTAGAACTAGCAGTGAAATGTTATTTTTTCAACAACCCTACATTCTCAGTTGAAGAGCTGCATAATTCCCCAATGTGCTCCTCCGAGCTAATCTGGCTTGTTTATCTGGCTAATTCTGCAGATGATAAATGCAGGCCAAGTGGATACAGGGAGCTGCGGAACAAGGTCCTTGACCTGCAGATGCAGAAGCAGACGAGAAGGGGCAACCGCCAGCGGAACGAGGACGCGATGACATCGAGGAAACAGCTGGTGGAGGGCATGTTTGAGGACTTCGATGCAGATAGAACTGGACTGGTGGACAGCAACGAGTTATCGCAGGTGATTCAAAGAAATCACATTCTTTGTTTTTGGTTATGGTGAGCTGGGAGCCTGTCACAGAAAGCATAGGGCACACCCATCATAGGGGGGAGGCTTATCTGTCCATCACAGAGGACACCCTGGACGGGTCATCAGTCCATCATAGGGGACACCCTGGACTGATCATCATCAGTCCATGGTCATCAGTCCATCACAGGGGACACCCTGGACTGATCATCATCAGTCCAGGGTCATCAGTCCATCACAGGGGACACCCTGGACTGATCATCATCAGTCCATGGTCATCAGTCCATCACAGGGGACACCCTGGATGGGTTTCCAGTTTATCA